TCATAACACATATATCACCAGATTCTTGCCAATACACAGCCCTGCTATTTCATGTTATTTTTTTTTGTCACATGGAAAAGAGTAACAGTTGCTTTTCTGTATTTATGAAACGCCTGATAGGTCGGCTCAAGCTGTCCTGTGGGTCACATACAGCCTGGAGGCTGGACTTTCACACTCCTGTGCAACAGAGGAACAAAGCGCAGACTAAGCAGATGCCAGCAGGGGTCAGTAGTGTACTCACAGGCAAAGGAGCAGAGCGAAGCCAGCAATGTACTCATTCCTCTGGGCCCTGAAGAGCTTCATGTGTATGTGCTCCACTGCCACTGGATTGTTGCTCAGGTCCACTTTTTCTGTCACGCTGTACTTGCGCACCTCCCAAGAAGCAGACAGGCGTGAGATTGTGACATCACTGAAGAAGCCAGTGCCGACAGGCAGCAATCCCCCAACAATCCAGGGTCAAGGGTCAACTGTTACAGTTGATACTGTAAGGTTTCCATCCATATCTCTATGTACCTAAGACAAGAGACTCCAATACTGCTGGGCTCCGCCAGACAGAGAGGGGACAGAATCTACTGGTGACGAGATGACATCTGGGAAAATCGGCCTCACTCACCAATGAGTAAGAAGACCAGGATACCGATGGCCACCATGAAGTAGGTGTTGCCATAGGTCGTGATGGCTTTCACCAAACGCGACTTGAAGATCTTGTGCCATCTGGAAAGGAGACACAAAACCTTAATGACAGATTCACCACACAATATTCCCATCCACAGCAAAATAAAAAAATGAGTCAGATACGGTTTAAATAGAAGGTCAATAAAAGGCTACTGAACAATTCATAAATTAGGTGCATCATCCACTACCAAGATTATAACAGCACAATGGATGAGTCAAACAAGGACTCACATCCAGGGGATGTCATTTCAAGTAAATAGGTCAGATGAGAATTAAACATTAAAAACAGCCTCGTGCTCCGGCTATGGTGATGCATTCCTTTCAGCAAACACAGAGATCCTGGGATCCAAGTTGACCACTGCACCTTCCAGTATATACTATAATCCCATAAAAGTTTACATCATGGGCTTACACTTAAAATAGTACTCAAATAGTTTTTTTCTGTGTCTTCTATGTTTAATATCCCACAACTTTAAACATTCAATCTGCTGAATTATGACTGACTGTAGTACATGTTCTCACCTCTGGGGGGAGATAAAGGGTACACAAAGCAGTAGTACAGCGAACACTTCGGCGTACAGGAAGGTGGCTACTGCCGTCCACTGGAGACTCATGCTAAATGCAGGAGATCCTGGTAAAGAGAGCAGAGACATTAATGGCTCGATGAACTCTGAGAAGCCTTGATGCTGGTAAACCCATTTAAAAGAGGTCCCTGAACTGCAAAGACCACCATTTCCATGACAACAGAATTGCGACACAAAATATTTCCAAACATCAGTAGAAAGAAAAAAACTCTAAGAATGAGGTGGAGGGTCATTGACATCTTGCTTAGAAACAATTCTATTTTTTGGTAAGTATTGCCTTAATTACCCTAAAAACTAAATTCAGTAAAAACATAATGAACTAAAATTATCAAACAGCACAAAAAAAATCCATTCCCTTACATCATTCATATTTTCACATAACATTACAACATAGCCCAAATAAAAATGTTCTACTTTTTATGCCGTTTTATGACTGGCCACCATTACTGTAGGACTAAGAATTTTCAGAGCATACAGTGGGAAATTGAGAGCAAATACAGAAGTAAAATTCACAGCCTGGTCATACATATGCATGCACCCTTCTGCAAACAAACAAAGCCTCAGGATTTTAAAAGAAAAGGGTACGTTGGCTGTTTTTTTCCTTGAACATGCAAACAAACATCTCCTAGTACAAGACAAGGGCAATATTCATGGCAAGTAACTGATAAATGAATTGACAGCCTAACAAGCTAAGAGAAAATCCATATCTTTTCATGAACAGCCCCTTCACATGCAGTTGGTTTATGAACAAGTGGCGACGGCACCCAAGATGGAGAACCATGCTTATCCCATTAAATGTCGTTCACACTCATGACGCGGCGATCACACAATATACAACAAAGACAAAAATTTCAGCTGTAATGAAAAGGTCTCCCACCAAACACAATGACTGCAAATACCATTATGGAAATTAACAGACAAGTACATCGGTCCATTCACATTAGACATGCATAATCAAACAGGGAGCAACTCATTTTAGTGAAAGTGTGCACAAAAAGTCAGCCGTCCATTTATTACCCCAAAGTAGGTACAACTGTGCGAGATTCTGGAGATAAGGTGGTGGGGCGGGGGGTATCAGGTCATGACAGGAAGCAAATAAAAATGACATAATTCTGAGACAGAAATTCATCAATTTACTACACGCCTAAAGACAGACAGATTGATATTCCCCACCAAGAAACCACAGCCCTGAAGGTGTGATGTCAAGCCAAAAGAGTCCACATTCAGCCACGGTAATGCTCTCTTTATTATATTTTTTTTTTTTAAAAATCATCCATCAAGTCTTCTTGAACAATGTGTATCCAACATATAACTTGCCTTTTTTAAAGCTTACCAAGACTCTTAAGGCAGTGTTTCCCAACCCGGTCCTTGGGGACCCCAGAAAGTTCACATTTTTGCTCCCTCCCAGCTCCCTTTATCACCTATCTGGAGTCCCGGAGAACTGGGTTGGAAAACACTGACATAAGTGATAATAGATGATGTTTGTTATATAGATATAGATTTATTTGGTATATTGTTCAAACGGATTGTAATGAGCAGCAAATACAGATCGCTATGAATACAGCAACCTCATTTCACTTTAAAATCACCTCATGAAGTTTTCCCATTAAAACTGCCTAAACAGGTTCAAATAAAAGTATATAATGTCATAAGAAACACATCCTGAAAATGCAGGGAAGCATTACACATCCTCATTTTAATGTTATCAATGCATTATGGAATGATATTTAAAAAGTAACACTGACAAAAATTCAACAAAAGGTAAAGAAAAGCATTTTAAAGGGGCAGAAAAAAGGCAATCTCCTCTTTTGTATTTCCGACAGCTGCTCCATCTTGGTGATCTTAACAGGCTTCATCATGATGAAAAGGCTTACATCTTTTTGAGCAATTCATTTTAGGGGGGAGGGGAGAGAATCACCACAAAAAGCAACTTTTTCCATTGAATAACTAACTGCTAAATAAGTTTACTTGACAAGTTAAACCAGATAATGTAACTAATATAATGACATTCTGTCAATTACCCTACACACTCCCTTCTGCATAATAAGACTTGACAAAATAACTCATACTTGGGTCATACAGTAAACTAATTTTCTTTAGTAAATCATCTCAACAGTGAACAGTTTCTTCTTTTAACTACACACTTTACCCTACTTACATGAAGCACTTTAAATCAGACCAGCACGAGATTCAAATTTAAAGGATGAACCATTTAGTTGAGCAGGAAAACAGAGTCAGACTTTAACACATAAAACCCCTACCGTACTGGACGAGGCGACAAGAAAGTCCACTATTGCATTTCTCTGGACTCTTACCAGCAGACGGATTGCGATATATCGATTAGCAAATAGTACAGCATCATGATGTCAATGGCCAGGCATGTCGGCACAGTACATTTAATCAATTACAGTACAATAATCATATTAAACTCCCAGCCTATACGTTCAGGTAAAAAGACAAAACTTAAGTATTTCTGGACAAAACTGTTGTGCTGAGTACCTGCACTTATTACACATTAAAACATGCCCGGGGTTATATTCATATACAAATTAAATGTTATCTTAAAATAAAAAAAAAAAACACACGGTCAAGTTCTTAGTTATACACATTCATAATATCGGCAGCAGCGCAGCATTAATGTTAACAGATAGAGGAGATGCGGACTGGCCGATTAACGCATGTAATTGGAAAACAAATTTGATTTTTGTATTTGTATTTGTTTAATGGTATACATCTGTACCACACGAGAGCCTTACATGCTAGACACCAACAATAGATCCCATTAAACATTAAGACTGTGCGAAAGTGAGGCTGCCCTTTACTTCATTATACTCCAGCACTAATAAATTGGAGCCAAAATACAGCTAACAAACTTAATTTTCACCACAGACATTGAGTTTTTTCCAAACCAATGCAAAACTGTCTACATCAAGCAGCTTTGTAGTGAATTAGCAGGATCACCCAGCAACATAATACAAAATACCTATTAAACAAAAAAGATTAGCTGGATATTTAGCCGTTTGGATTATTTTATAGTTGCTACAATCATAAACACTCTCCTTTCGTCAAGAAAAACGTGTCTCATGATGGCAGTAAGTAAATTAAAGCACATACCAGTATCGCCTCCGCACTGAATAAATCATATAATAGCACTTACTGTAGGTGTATGGCGAATGCAGACCACAACACGGCGACTATCGGTTTTCCAAAGTACACTATTTTTGTGGCTCTTTCAAATTGATTAAATAGTTCCTGTATGTAAACGCCAGCTCATCCAGCTGCAAGTGAACCCTGACCTCTGACCGGGTGACACAGGAAGAGGAAGCCGCTTTATTGTGCAGCGGAAGCCTCGAGCGCCGGACAGCCCGGGCGGAGGCTGCGGCTTTGCGGTCTGGCCTCCTTCTGGACTTGCTGCTGATTGTTCCGCCAGTCCGTACGCGGACAAATGTGCCGTGGTAAAATAATAGCAATAAAAAACAAACAGTCTTTTTAAAAACCATGTCTGTGGTAAAAACGAAAAAATATAATCACAGTGTCCTTCAGAATTTTACATGCTGCTGACCTCTAGCTGGTTCCGACGTATGTATGTATGGGGCAGAAGTTATGGTTATTCGTTTATGTATAAAAGCTTAGCATGTACGATGTGAAGCATCGGCAGTCCAGGGTGGTTCTCCGGCTAGCAATTCAACTCAGTATAACTCATATACATAGTGTATTACACAGTGAGATCTTCTTTTCTTCTTTCCGCGGGTAGTAAACATGGTCAGTACAAGATAACGAAGCAGGCCTGTTTCATACTCTGCTGACACTTTTTGAGGGCGTACCCAAAAACGATCTATTTACTTTCTTCCAGGCACATCTTATTGTAAAACATGATGTTGTCCAATGGGAAAATGAATATTAACCATAATATGTCCTCAAAGTCCTGTCTAGAACCAAGGCTGGTGTCCCCGATCAGTCACTACATAAAATCTGTATTTGCTGAATGTATTAATACAGAAAACTGGTTTAAATAAGACTGCCAATAATTTCAAACACCCAGAAGGCTGTATCGGCTACAGGTTGTTCTGGTCTAACCAGACCTACGCACTACTAGTCCCATTTCAGGTCATGGGAATTTTATCAAGGGTCTCTGCATAGCAGAACGCTCCACCACCTGCGGGGCTTTAAGTTCATTTTCCATTCTTGGCTCTGTGTGTATCATTTGCATGCCCCCTGTCTCCACTGACTACTCTGGTTTCCTCACACAGCTAAAATACGATTAGGTTAAGTATGGTCTGTAAATTGCCCGGAGCATATGAGAGTCTGTTTCAATTGACTGGCATCCCATCCAGGGTGTTCCCCTGCCCAGTGCTCTGAGTCTCAGTACAGACGTACTGCAGTACCTAAGCAGTTATGGAAATGGATGTATAATAATGATTATTACAATGACACAAAATAAATTAATTTGCCGTAGTTTTACAAAAAAAAAAAAAAAACATTTTCTCTTCAATTGAAGATATGAGGGTAAAATTGTTTATTCGTAGAAATTACAACATGCAAGTAAATTTTGGTCATTTGTTAATTTTCAGAAGGCTAAAATTAGGAAATATTCTCAACGTGAAATACACCCAATATCCAAGGTGAAAATGGTAATATAAAATCTGCAGAACAATTTCTTTCAAGTGTCTGGTTTACATATAAAGACTAGTGATACAAAATGAACATGTTGCATGAACAAGAAAAAAAAAAAGTCCGATATAGCACTTTAAGACCATGGGTGTGGTCACATGTAAACATTTATCTAAAACAGATCCATAACGTAAAACAAAAATACGTTTTTTCTCTATAAATTGGTTTGTAATGTTATCAGTTTAAGACTTCAACGATAACAAGTCTAGATTTTTGATATGCATACTACTGTTAACTTACACATCATAGATTCAAAATCAATGTCGCTACAACAACTGCTGTTTCCCTGTACATATTATGGAGTTACAGTTTCTATGAATTTATCAAGTCACTGTAAACACAAAGGCATTAAGCCCTATCTTAAATTATGGCCTTCTTGAACATTAAATCAGAGTGTACATTTATGATAGCAAGCACACAGAACACTAGCCTTTAGTTTCAGAATGAAAATCAAACCATTTTGTTTCATTACAAATAAAATGTCAGTTAAAAAAAAAAGCTTCCATTGAAATACTGAGACACTACCAAGCATTCTAATACATTTATCAAAAGAAGACTGAACTGGTAAAACACTGATTCTGTAATAGAAAAACTATCTGATTGGTTAGTTTATTTAACAAGGTCACATTAAAGGCAACAAGTGCATGTAAGCACTAATTTGAAGGTGATTCTAAATGCTCAAATGTAAATAGATCAATAAATAAGTGAACTACAAATAATACAAAACATACTGCATTTTGTAAAACAAAACAATGTTAAGTAACTCCATTCTGTGCAAAGCCTTGTTAGATGAGTCATCACATTATGGTCTGTGGCAGCATTATTATTATTAGTGTTATGTCAAAAACATGACTACTGAAATCTGTATATTTAGTTAGAGTAAGGCAGTATTCCAAGTTAATACTACGTTTCACACAAACAAAACATTAATGCCTTAAACTGACAATTCACACGCCCTCCTTTTCACTTCCAGGATTTTAAAGTGATTTGAGCAACAACAAAGTTGTCCGTCACAAAATAACAGAAAGAGGCAAACATATCAAAGGTTCACTTGAAATTCAAAGAGGAAATACTGCTTTTTTGGTTAAACAAGCCATCAGTGTTCTGGCATTTCATTAAAAACCTTTGCATAAAGGGTAATCATATTAGACATGCATAGCTTTAAAACTCTACACTTTTGTTTAACATTTTGTGTAGATTCACTTTGAAGGCACATGGTATGGTAGCAGGTCCATTCTTCTAGCTCTTTGGTGTGGCCATTGAATGTTGCGTGGAGACTCTGTGTCGGTGTCAAGGATCGTTCCCTGAAAAATGCTAGCATCCCTTTTCCTTTCCTGGGAGCCTGAGAACAAAAAAAAAAACATCACAAGAGTCCAGTTTTATGATTTTGCAAAATAAATGTTACCTTTTTGGGATCTTAAAGTTAATGTAATGTGTTAGTTGCAGGTTTGCAGACAGGTTTGTCTAAAGTCCTCAGCCATGTGTCCCCAGCACCCCTGAACAGTGCTACCGGTTCATTTAAGTTGCAAACTCTCCACAACTCATATTAAAAATTGTAATAGTTTCTAAAGAGTTCAATTGCAACTAAGAAAGTAACATGAATTTAAAAATTCTGAAAAAATAGAGTTACTCTACAGGGTCTTTGGATAGTTACTAGATCTCCTACACGGTAAGGCAAGGTCTGCATTTTCACAATTCTGCTGGGAATCTATCAGAGGTATGTCTGCTTAAAAGAGTATAGTCCTGTGTGGACATCCTGCAGTCAAATGGGATTTTAAAGGCGGCACCTACAATCAGTGCAGAAGACAGGTTTCTAGATACCCAGAGACACACCCAAAAAGGCAGGATTAGAGCCATGGCTGATGCGATGTCACTGCAGTGCAATTCCAGAATCTGCACTTAAGCACCAGATACACAACACGAGCAATACAACACACAACATAACCTAATCTGAGTATCTTCTCAGTAACATGATGAAAACCTGGCACGCTAGATTATGACAGACATGTCAGAAACAAGGCATAAACAAAAATGAAAATACAAGCAGGTGATCAATCGAGCAGTAAGACTTGAAAGTGTCCCACTGATAAAATCAGAGGCTTACCATCCAAAGATTAAGACAGCATCCAACAGAACGAAGCATCGTAAGTGTCATGTCAGCCCATTAATTCCCATCACACAATTGTTGTTAAATGACTGATACCATTTCCAACATTTGAATTTAGTTTAGAAATGTCATGTGTATTAAGTTTTAAATAAATATATATGGTCTTGTATATTGAAGAGCAATAAATGTAAGTCACAAGACCACAGCAGTGGTCTCTTATTGAAGAGTAGTGTACAGGAAGTCAACTTCCCCTACAACACATAAAAGTAGAATATTTACACGCAGATATTTTTAAAAACATTTTAGGCAGTTGAATTTAATTTCTTTTGATAGGATAAAGACTCGCTTCACTAAGAAAAGTCCACTTCAGCTAGTGAGGACATGAGGAAGATAAATCAAGTTTATTTTTAAAAAACCCATTTTTTTTTACTTTATTAATGCATTCGGTTACGGATGCTGTTTGACATGAAGATGACAAAACTCAGGAAAGAACAGACCAAACACCACATTGCAAAGAGGTTTCACCTCCAAGTTTTACTTTAAAAAAAACAAAACAAAACAAAAAAAAAAAAACATTTGTACATAGTGCATATGATAACATTACCAAAAAGTGACCCACTAGTTAAAAAGCTCACACCACAGAAAGCCAAATAAAAAATAATAATAATGATAATTACAATAACGGTCAACCACAGAAGAGACTGAAATGCATCTGGTGCCCATTTCATTGTCACGTTGGTTTTTGGTGCGATGGAAACGTGTAACACAAAAGGCAGAAGTGAGAAGTGACCCATAAACCTGGTCTTGGGATGCTGTTCGAGCTCACAGCTGTTAAAGTCTGTCTCTAACAGGCACCAAGCCTGTGAAGTAGCGTTCTCTCCAACTATGCTTCTATTAACTGCACCAGGTAACACTGCATCTGCTTTTAAAAATAAAAATGAAAATTCAAAAACCAATGGCATGGTAATGCAAGCTGGTGTACACTTTCTTCGACAAATGCTTAACCAAAATGCAAATGTTATTTTGGCATTTATTGTACTTAAGGAAATAATTAATCCAAGTTATAATCCAAGGATTTTTTTTTACCATCCTACATATTAAATAATCCTACTTTTCCTTTGTACATTTACAAATAATACAAAAAGCAGCTTTCTTCCAGGTACAGAGTTGCTTAGGTGATAAATCGAACAAGTTCTTACAATAGCAGCTGAGAAGTTGTGTGACTCAGTGTGTTTAGTTGAAGCTGGCATATATACAAGCAGGTCACTTTCATTGACAATGGCTACATGTCCCCTTAAACTGAGTGAATATAGTCAGAATGCAAATGCCGCCATTTTTATTCCTTCATATTTTCACATAGGTCTCCCTTTATCTTTTACTTTAATAAAAATCTCATTATTTTTTATATTAACTTTTTTTATTTTTAACTTTCTGGCACATCAACATAATTCAAAATGCCCACGTGTACTTGTATGTAGTTTATTTATATTGTATAATATGTATAGGATCATTTGTTTTGTTCAGTCCAGAATTCTGAAGGGTACCTTC